GCGAAATTTCGACGGAGAGATTGAAATGGGGTGCTGTCGGACCAATCCCAACCATTTCGAGGGATTTTAAATATTTTTTTTCATTTTTGGCAAAATTTACAAAGGCTATAAATTGATGGGTCCGGATTTCGATGGAGGAGTATTCGAATCGACAGGGGTGAACCAGGCACGACAAAACTACCTTTGTTTCTGTCAAAAACCACCCCTGTCCATAGAAACTTGAGTTTTATAAGAGCTGGTAAGAGCTGGTCTCTCCAACTAAGGGTGGGTAGGCTATCTTAGGCCCACTGGCTAAGAACTCTCCTGTAGTGGGTCGGCACCATGATATTTAGACAGAGCATGTGAAAAGGGAGTCTGCCCCACCAATCCAAACCAATACCAGCAATTTTCCAAATTGCCAAGATTTTTACGGACATTTTCAGTGAAAACAAATCAGCCTGGATTTTGACAGAGGAGGATTGAAATCGACAACAAAGAACCAAGGCACCACAAAAAACATCAAAAACCACCCTTTGATGCACACGAAAGGAAGCTCCTCATAGTGTCTGTACAGAGACAAATTGGACCAGCGTTGGCCGTTACTGTCATGTCAACTCACCTATTCTGTTGGGTAAAATGACTCCATAGACTTCTCTTGGTCACATGTCAAGAACATTTCTGGGTCAAGATCCTGCAATCATATTAAACGGTACTTTTTAGCGCTCATCAACTTTTAATTACATATAATTAACTCATACAATACAATTTTAAATGCCTCTCTCCCCATGCGTCTCTAAATGACTATGGTCTTTTAAATAACTAATTTTGGCACTGGACTAAGCATTAAGTACGAAGGGGCAGCTGCAAATTATCTGCAACGCACATTGATTGATTGTTTGGGGGATTACGCAAATAGTACTACTCGGTTTGCACCCCAACCAGAAAGTAATAAAGTTTTCTGTTCCACGAGAATAATATAGAGTAAAATATATGATATGTGATAAAACACTGGCAGGTTCACCCATTTGCATTAGGACCTACAACAGTATTTAACATACTGCATGGATTGGAGGAGTGTACCCATTCAACACCTTTTCAACAAAGCTAACAGTGAGCCAAGTTATTTACATCACGGGCATCATTTACTCGCCCTCAAAAAATAACTTACAACTTAATTGTGCGTGGAAATAACATTGAGCCACAGGAGAACACTAACCTCCTACAACAATAACCGGAATGGAACAATTCAATATTCCGGACCGGAAACAAGTAAGCACTATACCTTGCGATTAATAACGAAAGGCGGCGCGATGTCCACTCTAAAATTCTGGTTAAAATCCTATGATCAATAACTGTATGAGTAGGTATTATCGGTATTTGGCAGAAACCAAGAACAAACGCCTGTTTGTTTACGTTTCCATAAAGGCGCGGGAAATGCGCGGTGGGGGTGGGGAGGTGGGTGGAGAGGGGTAGGGGACGCGGCACGGCACGGCACGGCAATGGGGGAGAGCAATAATTACGGCATACTCACCGACATATCGTGGTCGCGGGATGTGATTCTTTCCTGGGGTAGACAATCCCGCCTCGCTCGTCCAGGATGTGATCCTTCGGGGATGCTTCCCGTCCCGTGCATCGTTGTGTGGCTACAGGCGGCAACGCCAGGGAAGTGCCATGTGACAATAATGAAATGATCTGGATAATAAACTATTATGGGCGATTTGCTATTAATAATAATTATATTTGGTGACTTTTAAGAAATATGCACCAGCCGGGGTACACGACGTTTGGAGCCGAATCGTATTTCGTGGGAGTGTCATCGGCGTGCTCGGGAGGTCCCCAATGACGTCCCCGGGGGCCCGGACGACATCGGCACTGCCAGATTTGGACTCAGCGTGCGAGAAAACCAAAGAGGTTGCATAGCATTTACGGTGCCGAACGGACTTTTGTCTTTTTGTCGAGAAATTAGGGAGGCTCGGCGCCTGCGAGACTCCGGGTAGGCCATCCCGCAACACACGCAAGCTCTACAAGCAAGATGTTGCCTACCTATAAGGCGCTATGAGACAGCTGAACTTGGCAATCCCCCCCACCGCGCCCGGCACTTAGGAAAGTGACCCACCCATCGCAGATCCGAGAGCCGTGGCACACTACAGCCGATCCACGGCGTGGCGCGAACCAAGACTTGTTCAAAAATAAGATTATTTACTTATGTTAGTGAAATAGCGTAAGTTATTTCGTTTACCCTTTTCCAGGCCCGGAACTGCAGTTAAGCGCTTCGTTTGCCCTCCTGATGGTATCTGTACCTGATTTAGCTCTTATTTCAACAACTGTCACTAAATGAAATACCATAATGTAATTAACTACTTTACTCATTTTATTTACTAAAATAGATAAATTAGGTTCGGACAAACGAGCTTCGGACAATCGGAGCCGTCTCAACACTTGTTATGTAAGTTGATGTGTTTTCTGTGACTCCACAAATTTTTTTTCCGTAGTCGGACATTTAGAAAATTTACACTATACTGAAAGGATATCTGACTGAGCTCCATTTAGCTATGGGTTCAGCTTTAACAGTAAGGTAGGATTAAGACCACAAACAAATGTATGTCCAAATTTAATCAAAATGCAACAGAAAAACAAACTGGGTTTTGGGTAGGGTACTATTTTTATCTTCCATAAAAATGATCAAAATGAACAAACTAGACACAGTTTAAACAGCGAAACAAATGAACATTTGTATGTTATTGTTCAAGTAAGGAAAGAGCTAGGTGGCCGGCTCTGGACAAACCTAAGATTAGTTGGTAAAAGCTAGGACTGACCAGATAAATTTAGTAATCTTAGGTATACCCACTTTCACTGCTGTCTATTCCTAGGTCCAGAAAGTTGAGTGTAATCAACACATAAGTTAGACTTCAAAATGCAACAGAATTAATAGAATAAAAAGTGCTTTGTATTTTTTATACGTTTCTGTTTTGGTTTTTGGTTTTTGTTGCGGGAGTGGAAGACTGAAAAGGACAGATTACAACATTTTCCCCCAGAAGATGTGCTAGAGTGGCATTTGCTGTTGTTGGACTTGCACTTGCTGCTTTGTTAAATGCAACAGCATATGCGACTCCAACAAACATTGTGGGGGGAAATAGACTGTATTGAACTTGGATTAAAAATTTGCACAGCAAAATCCCTCAGTTCTGTTGCAATTCTAGGTTTAATTTAAGAGCAGCTAGCAGTGAAGATAGTTTGACCTAGGATAACCAAATTGGTATGGTCAATCCTAGGTTTAGCCACCCATCTAACACATACCATACATACATACATACATACATATATATATACATACATACGTATGATTCATTGATAGGCATGTGGTTGAACAAGAAAGAGCTATTTAACAAAAAGAACTCAGGAATCTAGAATGGTAACCATAAATAAGAGCGCATTACATCTAAAATTCAAAAGTTATCTAATAGATAAAGTAAATCAGGAGATAGAATGCTCAAATGAATTGACTAAATCTTGCACATAAAATATCACATTGATTTTGAAATCATAGGTTGAGGAACACTTTCTTCAGCACCTTCAGCAATCTTTCTTTCATTTAATAAACCTAATAGACGCTGGTATAGTATATGCAGTACCTGATTCTGAATATATAAAAATAGTTAGAAATCATCTTTTAGTCATATTCGTTAGTCCACAATTCTCAGTGATTGTTTTATATGACAACGTACACAGAATAGTTCAAGAACCTTACGGTAACATACTAAAAATTAAAATGATTCAAGTACCCAAAAAATACAATAAAAGTGCAAATGAATAATATCTGACCAAACCACAAAATTACTGGTATTGCAAATTGCACTGGTCCCATTTGTACACAAGACTGATTTGCAAGCAAAATAAAATTATAAGAGCAGAGTAACATTGAATCTTCAAAAAGAACTACAGCTTCGATTTGAATGAAAACGGTAAGCAACTTTCAGTAGTAATACAAAAAGAACTCCTGTGATTTAAATGTTGGTGTTCCAAAACAAAATTCATACAAATATGGACATAATTTACAATAAAACCACATGTTTACAATTTCTTAAAACTACACAAATTATACACAATCACACATGCACATGATATAGTAATTGAAAGTCTTATTAACAAATTCACAAATTCAATACCTATGAACTTTTTAAAACAAATTCTAACAACTCCAATATTCTTTTCACTTTGATGATGGTGAGCTCCTGTTATCTTCATGATATTATGCCTGGAAAAGATTACAAAGATAAGATTAAAGTTATATAAAAAAAATAATAATAAAAGGGTAGAGAGCAGGTATACAAATACGTATTCTTTGTGCTCTACAATAATTAAGCGTGCTCACAGGTGCAAGCTGTATTGCAGACAGATGACTTGGTTCAGCTGTTATCTACCTCAATTCCGCCCCCATAACCAACCCAAGATGGAGCCTTGAGAATCATTAGCTGTCAATAAGAAAAAATAAAAGCAAAACCTAATGTTAGCAAAGCAAGCACAACTGGTAAATATATTAGGAAGAAATTCTCATTTTACAACTGGATATACAAATGATCTTAGGAGAAGCATTGCATACAATTTGAACACAACTAGATATAAGCAAATCTACCACACATTAAAACTTTCCTTGTCAAGGATGTGAGTCAAAACTATTTAAACAAAATCAGACATGTACTTACAAGAGGATTGATCAGCATTATTTGGGTCAGTATTTGAGAGGGTTGAAACAACATCTACCCCAGCACCAGCAGTGGTCTCGTTGCTGACATTGACTACTTCACTAGCATTTCCAGACAAAGAAGAAGTTGGGCTTGGGGACATAAGGCGCATCTGTTGCTGGTGTCTGTACTCACTGTCTTCCTTAAAGCTTTTATCGTGGCTGTATCCCATCTTACGTAGTTCAGTGAGCCTGAAAGAAGAGCAATGATTTCAAAATCAAATAGATGTATATGGTACTTTAGAGATTAAAATAACATCTTAAGTAAAATAGAAACAAACATACTTATTTTGGAGGTTTACAGTATATGCCTCAGGGTTTATTGGGATAAATGTAGGGGGTAGAGCTGTAATGCTGTTTTCGGGAGAAAGACCAGCATCAGCTTCATCCACCCTCTGAATAATTGATGCAGGATTCACAGGTAAGTCATTGGGCTGATTAGAAAGGAGGTGCTTTAACCGCTCTCTAAGTTCTTCATTAGAGCGGATGGCATTACTAAGTCGAAGCTGGAGACCATCCCGTTCTTCTAGAAGCTGAGAAAACATAACATAATAATTTGAAAATTAAAACAAAATTTTGTTGCTTGTAACAAATACTTTAAAAATATGAAAAATCTAGATGGAGGACGTTAGATTGAAACTCACCTGTGTTAGCTCAAGTGTCAGTTCCTCACATCGAACATCGCGTTCATGGAGCATATAGAGCGCAAGGTCCAGTTCATTTGACAAGTTCTTGTCACTAGAATTCATGGCTGGAACATTAACTGGCTTGACCAATGTTGTGTTGCTTCCTTGATCATTTGGTGATGGTTGCGTGCCAAGTAGGGACACTTGCCCAGCTGACAGTTGAGATATATCTGAAAGAAGTTTTTCAACTTGATCTTTCTTAAAATGTAACTGTTCATCAAGTTTTTTCTTTAATTCTTCATTTACAGACAAATTGATTTGCAATGTTTCAATTTCTTTATCCTTGGCAAATATTATGCTTTCAAGTTCCTGACATTTCTCAACTTGTTGACTGTAAACGTGCTCCAAATCATGGCACTCATTTTTAGTAATTGTCTCTTGCTTCAATTCCTCAAGCTGCATTTGCAGTCCGTTGATTGTTGTTTGGGCTGCCTCTAACTGGTTCTTGTGGTATTCTATGAGCTGGCTCCACTCTTGTCCAGATTCCTCCATGGTCCGTTTCAAAGTCTCAATCATTCTCTTGTCTTTCTGCATTTCATTTTCCTTTTGAAGGAGTTGTTCCTCCAATGCTTGGGTGTTACTGCTGGCAATAGATTCAAATACGTCAGCGGATTGTTCTTCTGCCCTAGGCACTACACTGCTCCAGTTCAAAATCGAGCTGTTGGGATGTGAATTTACTGGAATAGATTCACGTTGAATAAATTCATCTTGAAGAGATACAGGATTACATGCAACGTTTGGTACTGCTGTTTCTTTAAATGAGTTCTCTTCAAGGACTCTAATTTTTTCTTGCAAGTGACTGATCTCTTGAGCATTTGCCTCTAATTTCTCTTGGCTCTGTTCTAATTGTTGCAACAGTTCCTTCCTGGCATCATTCAACTGACTACATTGTGCCTGAAATTCTACATTGTCAGATGAAACAGCTTGAAGCTCTGCAGTAGTTTCCTGCAAGTGTTGTTCAGCAGACACCAACTTTTCCTTAAGCTCTTCACATTTCTTGCAAAGAAGTTCTGTGCTTTCGTCTTGGTCTTTGGAGGCCAGTTGGGCACAAGCAGATTCATAATCCATTTTGAGTGAATCATAAACATCTTGGAAATATGTCTTTTCATGTTCCAGACGTTCAATCATGCCCTTCTGCTGAGCAACAAGGGCATCAATCTGAGTGCGTTGCTCACTCTCAGCAAGGCATTGAGCCCGCAGTTTCTGGTACTCTTGCATCAGGTTTTCATAGTTTGAGTTCCAAGTGTGATTTTCCTTTAAAAGTTGATCGACTTCTGTTGAGTTAAGTTCAGTAGGTGGCGAAGGTTTACCTGCTGAAAGGTTTTCGGTGGGTACCTCTGACTTTTCTTCTTTGCCTTCCTCTAGCTCTCTTATCCTCCACTCCATTGCTTGAACTTGATTAGTAAGATCTTTGCTTCGTTTCTGCCACATTTCAACCTCAACATCTTGACGTTCCTTGATCTCAAGCATACGCTCATTAGCTGATGAGAAAACTTCCACTTGTTTCTGCAGTCTGTCACGTTCTGCCTTAAAAGCATTCAATTCAGCTTGAACTTCTTTTAATTCCTTCTCTAAGCCTTGCATTTGCTTCATTCTCTCTTCTTCTATAGCTTGATCCAAGCTGTCAAATGGAGAGTCAGTGGAGCGACTCTTGTCTGAAACCTCATCATACTTGGTTTTTAAGTCTCGTAGCTTTCTAGTAAGTTTTGCTGCCCGTATTTGAGAAGCCTTTAAATCCTCGGCTAGTTGGATTTTCTCTCTTTCAAGAGACTCATATTCTGATTGTAATGATTCAATTTTCTTTTGCAGTTCATGTTCTACGTCTCCTGACGTGGGTTCAATCTGACTCTTCTGCTGTTGATGTTGAACTTCCAAATGGGCACTATCAGCTCCCCATCCCCAACTGTCATCATCATTTATGAAGGAATCAGGTACGGACAGCACTGTGTGATCAGTTGAGCTTGGAGCTCCAGATTGTGAGATTGTCTGCAACTCTGCTTGAAGCTTATCAATTTGAGATAATGCTCTATTTTTTTCTGACTCCAACTGGATGAGTTTTTCTTTTAGATCACTAACTTCACTTTTGAGAGAGCCAAGTTCAACAGCAGACTCATCTCTTTTTCCCTTTTCATCACCTTCTTTTACATCCGCTTTCTTGTGAGCATGAGGTGGTTTAGCTTTACCAGTGTCCCAACAACCTTCCATCGCTTTCTGTTTCAGCAAGCTTTCTTGCCGAGACATTACCATGCCTCTCAATTCCGATTCCAGTTGAGTCATGTTGCTTTCCATGACAGACTCATCATTCTCGTTGTAACCCTCTTCATTATTAAATCCAGATCCACTGTCTTGTAAAGAAGAAACATGGGTGTCCAACGTCTGTGGTATATCTGGGCGTTGGTCTGCTTCCTTTTGATCTCGAATTTCCAGTTCATTCTCGATCTTTTCCTTGTCAAATTGTGCATTTTCTAATTTACGTTTCATTTTTTCCAGACTGTGTTCAAGTTTCTGAACATTTTCTTTTTCTTGTTCAGCACATGCCTGAGCAGCTTCTAAGGCAATAGTAAGTTCTGAAACTTGTGATTGAAGTTTACTTAGGGAAGGATACATACTTTCTACTTCTTCCTTGGCTGCCTTTAATTCTTCATTGACTCTATCCAAATTGTTTCTCAACGAGAGCATTTCAAGCTCAAGAGACTTCTTTTCTGACACCGATGTTTCTAGTTGCTCGGTCAGAGTTTGAAGTTTTATTTCTAGTTCATTACTTTGCTCTGGTGATGTTTCAAAAAAGGATGCTGCTGGTTTAAAGGCATCAAATATTGAGGTAGAATGTGAAGGATGGCTCTGAGCGGAAATACCAGTTTCTTGATATGATGCCTTCGCAGGTGCATCAAAGACTTCAGTAACTTGATCTCTATCAGTTTGGAAGCTAAAGGTAGCTGCTGCTCCTGGGTCAGAAGCTCCCATTTGAAGCTGAATGAGGCGTCGCTGATAGTTTTCCACTTCAGCTGTCTTTTCAATTAGTTGTTGTTGAAGTTCTTTCTCCCGTGCTGAAGTTATTGAGGGGATTGCATCTGGTAACAGACCACTCCTCTCTATGTTTGTACTACTATGTGTTTCAGTTTTGTCTAGAAGTTCTTGTTGAAGATGAGAAATAGAACTGGCAGCATCTGCTAGTTGGTGTTGTAATTCTTCTGTTTCTTGCAATGACTTATCAAGCTGTAACTGAAGATCAGTACGGAGTTGAATTGATTCATTCAGTTGAAGATGCAAATTTGCAAGCTGATGTTGGAGATCCTCTCTTTCCTTCTCTGATTTCTCATGCAGCATATGTGTGTCAACACTTTGTTGAGATGTTTCATCTAATTGTCTTTGCAACACTTCACACCTCTGTGTTGAATTACCATAAGAAGCCTGTAATTCTGTGCATGTTAGCCTGACATCACTTAGCTCTTGCTCAGCCGTGAGCAGTTTTGATTTCCACATTTCACAATCTCCCATCAATTCCTCTATGTTGGATTTTAAGTCATGATTTGCTTGCATGGCATTACTAAGTTCTTGCTGGACTACATTACAGTGGTCAAAAATAGACTGGTATTTAGTTTGCAGGTCCTGAATTAAAGCATCTTTCTCACTTATTTGATCTTGAAGAGAGGATGTACTTTGAACAAGAGTATTAATCTGGCCATATGATTCATTGAGCATTGTTTCCAGACTTAATGATTTTTGACTCTCTTCCTGTATCTTTTGAGACAAATCCCACCGCTCTTTATTGAAATTGTTAACTTCATCTTCAAGTTTTACCTTTTCCCCTTCCTTTTGATCAAGAACAGCTCTCGCTTCAGAGAGAGAACTTTCTAGTGTCTCAATACTTTTTTCAGCATCAAAAAGTTTCCTTTGAATGAGAGAGTCACTCTCGGACACAATACTCTTAATTTTATTTTCCAGAGCAGCTGTGCGGTTTATGACCCTTGTCACAAGGTTTCTTAGTTCTGCAAACAATTTTCGGTCTGCATGGAGATCTGGTCTATTCTGGAGCCGTGCAACAATTTGACTATGTAGCAATTCAAATGAATAACCAAGCTCGTTCATTGTGTTGGCCTTCTCATCTTGCAAAATAGGAAGGACATCTATTGGTGAAGGGTAATTGGTTGAGGCACACAGATTTTCAATCTCACGTTGGAAACTCTCAGCCGATAGAAGAGATTGCAAATCCTGTGCTTCTTCAGTAACTTCCTCTGTATTAACAGTCTCATTTGCATACTGGAGCTTATTTTTCTCTTGCTCAAGCTGCTCATGAAGAATAGATACTTGATCTTGTTGTTCCTTCAACAATCTATCAAACTTTCCAAGTTCCTGTTCATAATTATCTACAGTCATAGTATGTTTATTCTGAACTTCGTCAAGAGTATTACTCTTTTCAGTCAAAAGAGCTTGAAGTTCCTCTTGTTTTTGCAACAGATCCAAACGTAGCTTCTTTTCCTTTGCAAGCTTAATCTTGGCCTGCTTTGTAAAGTTTTCAAGCTTATTGAGGGCTGCTTGTTTTTCTTCACTTTCTAAAGCAAGCTGCTTTTGAATTGAAGCAAGCTCTGTCTGCAACTCAACAAATTTAGCAATTTCCATTTGCTGGTCCAGCTCGGCATTACTACGACTCAAATTATCCAACATTGCTAACCTTTCATCAGCTAATGACTGTAGACTTTCTGCATGACTTTGCATTGCATCAAATTTAGCTTGAATTTCAATAAGAGCGGAAGTTTCAGTGCTTAACTCTTCCCTAAGATTGAGAATTTCTAACTCTCTTGAAGCCAGTGCTTCTGTTGCCTGACTCAGATTAGTATCTTTTTCAGACACTTCTATCTGCCATTTTTCCAAGATATCTTGTTTTTCTCTAACAAGTTGTTCAAACTCAATTTTGCTGCTCTGAAGCATGGTTTCATATTTGTTAGCTCTTTCTTCAAGTTCTTTATTGGCAACAGTCTTAACTTTCAGATTAACTGCTAATTTTTTAACCTTCTCTACTTGTGCTTTTAGCTTGCTTTCAAGACGAGCACATTCTTCTTTTTTCAGATCAAGTTCTCCTGAGGCTTCAATCAACCGCCTTTCAACTTCAGAAGCACTCTCTGCAAGTGATGGTGGCTGCGCTGCAGTGAATTGTACATCAGCTTGTCTGTATTGTGTCTTCAGACTTTCATTTTCATCTTCCAAATTTTTAAGGTGAGTCTGAAGAGCTGATGATTGTGCTTCTTGATCAAGTAAACGCTGACTGTAAGAATTGCAATTTTCACAGTCTTTTTCAGTGTTGTTAGCAGATGTTAACCTTTCAATTTTTTCTAGACTGGCTTGTACAATTGCCTGAAGTTCTTGAACTTGGGATTGTTTGTCAAGTACTGACTGCTCTAGGATATCTACTTTGTGCTTAAGTTTTTCTTCAAAAAGACTGAGTGCAGATGGTGTGTGCTCTTCAAGCACAGTTAGCTCATGCTGAATTAGAGGTGATTCGGTGTTAACTTGGACACAATATTGTTTCTCCAGATTTTCATATCGAGTTTCCCATTCCTTGATTGCACTTTGAGCCTCTTCCAACTGTTTTTCCAAATATAATGTTATATCGTCGGCCTTTGAGGAAAGTTCAGTGTTGGTGATCTGTTCTTTAAGGTTTTGAATTTCAAGATCCTTATCTTTCAGTTTGAGTTTCATATCAGCTATGTCCTGTTCAATGCTTTCATTAGATGACTGCTGCTCTTCCCATTCTACAAGCTTCATTTCAGCCTCAACCTTTTGGTTATGAAGTTCCAAATTGTGAGTTTGCAGTTCCTTTATCTTTTGCTCTTGAATAGCTGGAAAAAAAATAAAGGTTTACTTTTCAACGTGCATCAGTTTTAGTTCTTTAAAAGATTTAAAGGAAATTTTGTAGATAGAATTATGAGAGCACAAGTGGAGTTGGGGGTCACCTTAACAACATATATATCTTAAAGTATTGTAAAATAAAATTATGTACTTGTAGAAATGATTAGCATTAACAATGTTACATGTAAACATACACTATAAAAAACAGAATTGTCAACAAATATTAAACGCAGTTAGGTAGGTTAAAGATATTACCTGCACCAGCCCAGAGACACCAGACACCCATTAGTACCAACGAACCACATCCTCATAAATATCCTACCTGTGCTCTCTTCAATCTCAAGCAGAAGCAACTGTAGATTACCTTTCTCCTCCTCTAGTTCTGCAATGTGATTTTGAAGTTGAACCAATTCACCACTTAAATCAGATTCCTAAAGGAAAAAGAATGTATCAGAAACAGACTTTCACTGAATTTGACCCAACCGCAAGAAATGTGAATGTTTCACTACCTTTCTCAAACTATCTATTTGCTTGTTAAGTGTTTTAATCTTAGCCTTGTGTTCAGCTTTTAGTTTGACAGTAAGCTTATTAGCTTCAGTGAGAGCTTCTGATAATTCTTTTATTTTCAAATTGGCCTCCTCTAAACCTGTACTTGTTTTGGGGGTTTCATGGTATTTCTTCATTTCTTCAAGGAGCTCTGCATTTTTTGAAACTAGATCATTACGAGCAGTCTCAGCATCTTTAACATTTTGCTCTGCTTGACTGAGTCTGCAATTTTTTTACATGTACATTAATTTAAAAATTATTTTAATTAAAAAATAAGAAAAGCAGGTAGCATACACTTACTTTGTAGAGTTATTTTGAAGTTGTGTAGTTAGCTGTTCAATTTCAGCTTTCAAGCCAGCTTCAATTCTAACAAAATTTTCTTGCATCATCTGCATTTGCTGTCTTGTTTCTTCAAGCATGTCAACATTAGATCTCCCTTTGTAAATTTCAAAAAAAGAAAAGAAAAAAAAGAAGAAGAAGATAAAATAAATGGGATAAGCTTAGGAACATGACAAAATATGTAAAAGGGGCATACCCTAACCCTTGCAAAAGAGGACTTACATTTCTTTGACATATCTTCTGATAAGAGACTGATGGCTTGAGTTCTTGCTTCTATAACACAATCTTTTTCTTTCAAATTCTCTTGAAGCTCCAGAATAGTGTTTTGGAGTTCTGTGACGTGAGCTGACAAGTTAATTACTTCTTGCTCTTTCTCAAAAAGCTGAGAGGGCAGATCTCGGGGTTGTGTAACCTAATCCAAAGAAAAATTTCATTAATATTATAAAATACAGTATATTATTTAGTGTGCTAGATCTTAAGTGGGCTCAAGGATTTAAGAGAGTAAAATAAAGCTGGGAATCCTCACTTGAACTTCAGAGTTAGGTGTTAGAGGTGGTTCTTGTCCTGCTTGCAATTGCTGTATAGTGACATCTCTTTCCTCAAGATCATGTCGAAGTTGTTCTACCATAGCCTCCATGCTACGAGTGTCCTCTGAGAGTTCTAGGCCATGCCGTTCAAATCTGAGCCTGACAAGGGAAATACATAAAATGAAAGCTGATCGCTAGATACTAATTCACAATTAAACGGTCAGATTCATACCTATTCTGCTCAAGCTGTTCTCTCAAGATGTTAATTTTTCCTTTTGAAGCTGAATTGCTTGTTTGTTTTTTTCCAGGATTCTTGGGAGAACCGCTCTGTTCATTAGCAATTTTAGATTTTATATCATCTTTCTCATTAGTGGTGACATTTCGTTTGGATTTGGATGTGCGTGATTTAAGTAATGAGAGCTTAGATTTGAGGAGCTGGAACAATAAATGTAGTAGGTTTATAACACAATTTCTACTTATACAATTCAATTTTTAAGTTAAAAAGAAATTACAGACCTCATTCTGTTGCTCTTTGCTTGCAAGTTGGAGCTCATCTTGCTCCAATTTCTCTCGGAGCTGGGCGGCAAGTGTTCTTTGCTGTTCTATTTGCTCCCGCACATCCTCTGAATCAATAGGATAACTCTCAGGTTCTTCCATTGTTTGTATTTTTTCGTTAGGGTTTGATGCTGTTGAGCATGATAAGTTTTAACATGCTAGGCCTGAAAAAGTACAAAGATCATACATTTAAGAGGAGGATTTTAATTGTGTGTCTTAAAATATTGTGCAATATATTAATAATAACTGTGAAGTGTCCTCAAGCAGTACTATACTGTGCTGACAAGATGTTTTTGTGTCATATACTTCAAAAACAAAATTCGAATGTTAATCTTAAACTGATTGAAGACAAGACTACACATCGTGAGAAATAATATCATAGAAGAAATCATTTGACATGATCGAAACAATTTAACAAACCCACTGACATATCTAACATGGAATATGGGTCGATGAAAACATCTGGAACACTTTAGGTGTTGCAAAACCTTGTATACACCCTCAGGTTATGTTCATGGTGATACACGTCACAACTAGCAGATGTTCACAATTCACAGCCTTTTAAGAGGAAAAGACCCGCAGAGCCTCACATCCGGTTGTATCTCTTCCTGTTAATGTCAGCTGATGATGACGTCATGTTTTGTTTGATATCGTTTCGTTCGTTCGTGTTCGTGTGTGAGTTAGGCCCCTGGTGAAACGTAACAGCTCGGCGCTCGGGCTGTCATTGTGAGTCACAGTACGCCAATTGCGACGCTAGGGCAGAAATCCGACATGTTCCGTGCTAGCGCGATCGACAAACTACTCGGTATGATATGATCCTCTACAGTTTTCAAGTGTTAAAAGTGACCTTTCCGTCTACTTTTACACCCGCTGTTTTGAACAACTTTGGTTAAGGCCATGACTAGCAGCATTTTTTTAGAATTAATATTTTATTTCACCCAAAAACTGATTTCAGTAGTTTGCCCCTTTGTGTCAAGATATGCCATTTTTGTCTTCTACAATTTTATTTGACTGAATTTATCTTTGTTGGTAAATTGTTCAATGATGATTTAGTGTTTAATGTACTCTGTCTGTCATAATTTTTTATTTTACCTATGTTCTAGATAAAGCAACGGACCACTGTCAATTAGATCCCAACTATTCTACAATTCTTCAGATTTGTGATACTATCCGTCAAGGAGACTGCCAGTGAGTTCTAATCATGGAAATATACATAACTTTCTAGTGTTTGCTCCAAGATAAAGTTATCACCCCATTGTTTGCTGCTGCTCTTTTCTTTGTTTGATTTTCTAATTTTCTTGCAGACCCAAACAAGCCTTAGCAGCTATTACGAAGAAAATCACCCATGATAATCCTCATGTTGCAAATTTTGGATTACTGGTAAGTATGATTTCATTCCCTCAATAATTTCTAATGTTTTGTTCTTACATTTTTCATTCTCTATGTTGGCTATCTGAATAGGTTTTAGAGTCAGTCGTAAAGAATTGTGGAAGCCCAATTCACAATGAGGTTGGCACTATTCATTTTATGGAACAACTGCGAGAATTGCACAAGGCTTCCCCTCATGAAATTGTAAAAACTAAAATTCTTGAGCTTCTTCAAGCTTGGGCTTTTGCTTTTCGCAACACTCCTAAGTACCGTGCTGTGCAGGTGGGAAACCAACCATTTTGATACCTTTTCAATATTTCATGGTGTACTTTACATTATTTTATACCTCAATATTCTTTAGGACATAGTGACAATAATGAAGGCGGAAGGACACACATTTCCTCCTCTGAAAGAGAGTGATGCTATGTTCAAAGCTGAAACTGCTCCTGAGTGGGCAGAGGGAACTGTTTGTTTTAAGTGTCGGCAAGTCTTCAGCATGGTCACCCGCAAGGTAATCCCCTAAAGTAGTATTGTAAGAGTTTTAAATGTTGATTGATATTTTTTGTGTGTACTTTTTTTAATACTGTGAAATTTTAATTTGTTAGCATCACTGCAGAGCTTGTGGGCAAGTCTTTTGTGGCACTTGCTCCTCAAAAACTTCTCTTGTACCTAAATTTGGTATTGAAAAGGAAGTCCGTGTTTGTGATCAATGTTACCAGCAAATAAATAGGTAATTAATAATTACTAATTATTAGAAACATTTCTATCATGCTTCTGCTTTACCAATTGGTTTTCTCATTTTGTGTTTCAATTACAGTCGTGCTGCTCCTTCAGCCACCACTAAAGTTGAATCAGAGTTGCCTGCAGAGTATTTGAACAGCTCACTTGCACACCAAAGCCAAGTATGTTGGAAATGATACAATTAATGGCTTTAACAGTTGATTTGCAATCTTATTTATAGTTTGTATCTGGATTGTCATTCTAGGCTGCACCAAGGCGCACTGAGGATGAGCTTCGCGAAGAGGAAGAACTGCAGTTGGCAATCGCTCTTTCTCAGTCAGAGGCAGAAGAGAAAGAAAAACTGGTATGTTGCTTCTTTCTCTTATTTTGTTCTTGTTTTATTGTACTTTGGTCTTATTAAATTATTTTGCTAATCTTTCTATTTATTCAATAGAAAACAAAGTCTCCTCATCTTTCATCTCTGAGTTCCCATCTGTCTGCTGTTAAGGTACCTACTTAAAATTGTATTTTTTCAACCCTAAGTATTTTTTTGTATTTAAAAGATGACTTACATGACTTCCATTCTAAATTTAGTCTGAACCAGTCTTGCATGCTGAACAAGATCCTGAGATGGCAAGGTATTTAGATCGATCGTATTGGGATCAGAAGAATAAAGAAGAGACAAGTAAAGTGCCGTCGGCTCCATCTCATGTTAACTCATCCCCCTCTCCTCAACCTGCATCAAGCGCTCAGGTATTTTACTGTTGCCAACTAGGTGCTTAGGTACCTCTCTGTGTTTTATATTTACAATCAATTTTATCTTTTCAGAGCAATCACCAATTATCTAATACATCAGCTAAATCAAACACAAGTGCTACTCTTGTTAGCAATCCAACTCAAGTAGATGTTTCCCTGAAGCTTCAACAAAATGGAGTTACTGAAGATATTGAGATTGATGATTTTGTGAGCACTCTCAGGGGTCAAGTGGAAATTTTTGTTAACCGCATGAAATCTAATTCATCAAGGGGCCGAAGCATAGCAAATGATAGCTCAGTGCAAACTCTTTTCATGAACATCACTGCCATGCATTCTCGCCTTCTGCGATACATTCAACAGCAAGATGATAGTCGAGGTATATGTCAAATGACAGTTTGATAGTCCCTAAACCTGGATCCCAAATAGACACCTTTTAATGTATCAATCTATTTCTTTTAGTTCACTATGAAGGTTTGCAAGACAAATTGGCTCAGGTAAAGGATGCACGAGCAGCATTGGACGCACTTCGATTTGAGCATAGAGAGAAATTAAGGCAGCAGGCTGAAGAAGCTGAGAAATTGAGACAGATTCAAATGGCCCAGAAACTTGACATTATGCGTCAGAAAAAGCAAGAATATCTCCAGGTACTAAACCTCCTACTTTTCCTAGTAAAGTTCATAATGTTATTTGTTTTTCTTACTCTTTTAACTTGTATTCTGTTACATTTTATTAGTACCAGAGGCAACTTGCTCTGCAAAGGATACAGGAACAAGAGCGGGAAATGCAGATGCGCCAAGAACAGCAAAAGCAACAATATCTTATGGGTGGAGTACCTTACAACCGTTTCATGCCCCCTGGTCCTGGAGGTATGCCTCCTGGTGGTGTGCTTCCAGGAGGTCTTCCTTCTGGTCTGCCCCCATACTCAACAGGCCCCATGTACTCACAGCAAGCTCATCCATCTTACCTGGGCCATCAGGTTCCCTTTGCAGGGCACATACCTCAAGGTATGTTGGTGTAACAATAACAATTTTAATTTTGGAGAGCGTGACTACAACATTCCATTTCCTTGCATCAATCAGAGGAAAACAATTTACTCATGCTGGGTCAGTTCGTTTTTAGACTCAATGATATTCACTTTACCTTTTGCTTATTTTAGGAATGATGCATGGCTCTCACATGGGATCTAACCAAATGCCGTCAGCTGGAGCAGGAGGTCCTCAACATGGCCAAATGAGCCATGGAGGCCCACAACCTGGTCAACTAGGTCATGGAGGCCAACAACCTGGCCAAATGATTGGACCACAACACAATCAAATGGGTCCGGGAGTTCAACACGGCCAGATGGGTCCTGGAGGTCCTCATCCAGGTCAGATGGGTCCTGGAGGTCCTCATCCAGGCCAGATGGGTCCTGGAGGCCAACAGCCAGGCCAGATGGGTCCTGGAGGTCCTCAGCCAGG